TTTTTTCTTCATAACTACCAGCCAATCTTGTTTGTCTCATAATCTATTTGGATAGTTAGATATAATAGACTTAACTTGCATGACTATCAATGATGAATGGGTCAAACTTTGCACATCTTCTACCCCGCTTTACTTCTATTATATCGTAAATTCAATGTACTTTTATGTCTCTATTTTGTACTGGATCAAACCATTCACAATTGAAGAGATACAAAATATTCCTGTAACCGAAATATTCTACCTCTAATATTTCTTGTAATACCCCGTAGTATTCAGAATCATTCCCTGTATGGGTGTTCCCTTTTACACATATGTCAGAATTTTTCGTCTTTTTACCTTCACACCAATTTTTTGTTTGAAATTTATAACCATTGACCAAAAATATTTGATAACATTTAACTAATCTATTTGGTCTCCAAGCTAACTCAAATAGCCCTTTATACTGCGAATTACTGTCTTCAGTGTGTACCTTTAAATGAACATGATGTTATTATTATTATATTTATTGCATGCAGTACTAACTAATTAAGACTAATTATTCAAAATATACTGTATTTTTAAACTAAGCAGTGAATTCTTTCTCCACTATCTTCTGGACTTCTCCTTCTTCTGATGTACTTAAACCATGAATGAACACCCTACAAACTTTTGAGTTTAGAACAAAGTTAAGAATAATAAAGAAAAATGAACAAATTAACTCATACTTAAAAAAATACTTTTCTTGGTCCAATTATGGTTGACACCATATCCTGGCAATCTGAACTCAACTAATATTGGAGAATCCACTATTGTGGGCATGAACCTCACTCTTTCAAATATTTCTTCACTACTTAATTTTGAAGGAGGTTGAAACATCACAATTTTATTTTTAGTAAAGACATCTTTATTTCGCTTGAAATGATGACTTGGAGGTAAAAACATGCGATGACAATCGAATCAAGTGTTCTTCCTACCATACTTTAAAATGAATGATTTTGTATGTTCCATACAATAGGACAAGCTAACTTGCCTGAAGTGTTCCAACCTGAGAGCATACCATATGCAAGAAAGCCACCAATTATTCAAAGTAATGCTGCTCTCAGTGTGAAGTTATGTTTGGTGGATATATCATATGTACTTACTCCATCTTCCCATTATAAACTTAAATCATCAATTAATAGTTGTAAGAATACGTCAATCTTCACTTTTGGATTATGTGGTCCTGGAATGATAAGTGTTAGAGACATATAAGGAGTAGTTATACATAACTATGGAGGAAGATTGTAAGGAGTTAATATCACGGGCCAACATGAGTAAGGTGTAGCATACTGACTGAATAGAGTAAAACCATATACGCATAAACCTAATCTTATATTTCCTGGTTCTGCCGCAAATGTGGAATGTGTACGATCAAAGTGTCTCCAAGCCTCTGCTTTTGATGAAAGTGTAATAACACATTCTTGCTGAATGTGATCATTATGCCATCTCATATGTGCAGCAGATCTCATGGATGCATATAGCCATTGTAGTTTAGGAATTATTAGTAAGTAAAACATCCTACTGACAGGCACATCCTTCTACTTATATTTCCAGATTTTAGTTTAAACCTTGGTGCATTGCAATGACGGTATGCAATCTCTGAGAAATCTTCTTTAAAGTATAACATGTATCCATTGACACAACAATCTATGTTTGTGTATGTCAAACCAAATTTGGAAACTAACTTCTTTGTTCGATATAGATCTGTAGGAATTATATTATCTGTCGGATTGGTTTTCTTAAGCAGCCCAATGAATTGATTAAAACATTCATGAGCAATATTATATTCTGCCTTGATGCTTAACATCTTCACAGCAACAGATAACTCTGAGTGAGTGGTGCATCATTTCTAGATTGGTTATTGAGCAGCATGCAACAAATCATAAAAATTCTGTGCCTCCTTATAAGATAACTCTTATGTATTTTGTTCATATTGTATTTCAATTGCATCATGAACTAATTCCTCAAGATTTGGTCTGATGTTTTCAGCCTCAGCTACATTAGTACTTGTAGAAGGATCGCATTGAGAATCAAAATGTGGCTCATACTCACAATGAGAAGTCTAATACCAATATCGTGGCATGAATTATCTGTGATACAGATCAACATTTACATCATCTGGTCTTAGGTGCACTAGATTTTTATGTTTAGAATATGGACATCAAAATATTCCATCTGATATGAAGCTGGGTAGTTGTTTCTCTTGTTGAATGAAAATTTTCACCCTATTAATGAATTCATATGTTAATGTATTTCGTCCTTACGCCAATCGATTATACATCCAACTTCTTTGATTTATAATATCCACAACCTACATATAAGAGCAGATAAGTAATGGATTATAATAATTTATGTGACATTCATATATTAACTATCTCTTCTCTCTACCTCTCTCTCTCCCCCCTTATTTGATCTCATTCCCTCTCTCACTTTCTTAATCTTATATTCTCGTTGTATAGACCTAATGAGAGGGACTTGAAGGTAAACTCGAATTATGGAGGTCAACTTTAGAGTATAAATGTTTTTGCTTGAGTAGATCTAAAACTGAATATATGGAGATATTAACAGTAGAATTCAAGTGATGTTGAAATTGATGGGGATATTAACAATATAATTCAACTTGGATGGTTAAAGTGGAGGAATGCATCGGGCTTGTTGTGCGGTAGAAAAGTCTCCCTCAAACTTAAGGAAAAATCCTATAAGATGGTGGTGAGACTTGCAATTCTTTATATATGGTGCCGAATGTTGGCTATTAAAAGGAAAGCATAACACTAAGTTAAGTATTGCAGAGATGAGGATGCTTAGGTGGATGAGTGGCTTGATTCTTAGAGATAGTATACGAAATGAGCATATACGTACGTGAAAGGTTGGAATAGCTCCAATGTTAGATAATATTAGAGAGAAAACCTTTAGACTCTAAGGTTGACATCCATAATTCAAGTTTACCTTCAACTCCATCTCTAGTCTTATCAACAAGAAGAATATCATCAGCAAAAAGCATACACCAACGTATATCGTTTGTAAATGTCTAGTGAGAACATCTACGACTAAAGTAAAAAGATATGGACTTAATACTTATCCTTGATGTAATCCAACTGAAATAAGAAATTACTTTGTCAAACCACCTTGTGTTTTAACACAAGTAATAGCTCATGCATACATATTTTTAATGATTTGAATATAAGCGCTATTAACTCTTTTTTTGCAAGAACTCTCAATAGAACTCCTCTTGGAACTTTATCATATGCTTTCTCTAAATCAACAAATATCATATGTAGACCCTCCTTATTCTCTCTATATTTCTCCATCAAACCTCTCAATAAATGTATGGCTTCCATAATATACCTACCCGGCATGAATCCAAATTGATTTTGAAAAATATCCGCTCTTTGTTTATAAAAAAAAACATCTAATATGTGCATCATCTAGCAAATGTCTAATAAGAAATAACATGAAGAAAAATCTTACAATCGACGAAATCGTGAGGCGGCGGAAGCTGACGGTCGATTTTTGCGAAACCAGTCTCCTTTCGCCGGCAATGAAGGAGGTGATCATTGGCGACGTCCCGTGAATGTTCAGAAGGCTCGGCGACTGCGATCTAGGGTGGGGCGACGCTGGGGCGTACCCCCCCCCAAAAAAAAAAAAAAAAAAAAAAAAAAAACTGCTTATAAGATAAGCTCTTCCCCCTGTGAACTGATTTGCCCGAAAGCTTCCCAAAAGAACAAAGGATAAAGGTTCTAGGGATAATATGAGCGCGAGCAAGAGAGAGAGAGAGAGAGAGAGAGGAATGATAATAAGAAATGGGAAGTGAAGACACGATAAGAGAGAGAGAGAGAGAGAGAGAGAGAGAGAGAGAGAGAGAGAGAGAGAGAGAGAGAGAACAATAGGTAAGTAAGCTGTACAACTTTATAAGGATGAGGAGATGGGCAATAGGGGCCTGGCCCATGAATTATCTGGCTAGGCTGATGGAGCATGTCCTTTCAATTTTTTTTTTTTGTGTAATTTATATGGTGCAGATCTATCAAAGAAATGTGATTTTGGCTTAGAACTTAGGTAAAAAATTGAAGATTGCTGTGAAGAAAATTCTTTTTCTTTGGGAGCAAGGGAAGCATATTCTGATGGAAGCAAAAAAATATGAGAGAGAAAACTAAAAAAAAATTATGTTCTCTAAATACTTCACGGGCAAAGGAAAACAAAGAGACTAAAATATTTTTTTTTGCTTCTTCACCGAAAATATATAACCATAGGAAACACGAGTAGTTTTTAAAATTGTCCGAAATAAGAAAAATAAAATAAAATAAAACAACTAAATTGAAGTGTCGTGTTGCTTGGTTTGAGAAAAAAAGTCAACATACTCAAATTCAAAGATTCATGGATAGCAGCTACGGTGACAAACCTTCATGCTCGTTTATGGAATAGGAGCAAATCACTTGAGAAATTATATTTAATATTATAAATTGTAAGTTATTTAATATCTTATATTTAATATTTTACATTTTTGGATAATAATTGAAAAAAAATTAAAACGGTCTATGCCAGTCTCAAGCCTGAATGAAAAAAGTTGAGAGAAAATTTTAATAAAATAATTTAGGCCCCCCCTAAATAAATTTTCTGGCTCCGCCACTGTTTTTATTGGGATATTTTTTTAGACAGTGAACTTACATCAAATTTTGTTGACTTGATTAGCAAGAATGTGATATCTTTTTTTTTTTTAGTTTTTTTGGGACATTTAGGGCATTTAAGACAAACTCATACACAAAGACTTGAATCTAAGACCTCTTAATTGGAAGCCTAAGCTCTGAACCACAAGACTAAGATGAGTTGTATATTTTTTCTTTAGTTGATTTTAACTTTTTATTCCGAATTAATGTAATTTGCATAGTTTCAAAAAAAAAAAAAAAAAAAAAAATTTAAAAAAAAAAAAAAAAAAATCTCTTAATATATTTATTATGTAAATATCCTCTTACTATATTCCTACCGAGCCCCCGAAAAATTCTCGCATTTCCTTCATCTTCCAGTGGAGGGATGCGATCTTGCTGCATCTTCCATGAATTCCTCACCTCCGCTACGAAGGATCCCTGTCGCGTTGCCATTGTGCACGCCGGTGGTGGTCTACAGTTATTCAGGGAGTACCGTACGAGGCTAAACGAGGCCTCTTCCTCCTCCAATCCCGTCTCCATCCCCACTCTAGACCTCAACTTCGATGCTGGTCACATATCCTCCTCTCCTCGATTCTTTCCAGGCGATGAGTGCTTCACTTACGGTGAACTCCTCTCCGCGGTTGATTCTCTTAGCCGTCGCATTCGCTGTGATCTAGACGGTGGTAATGCCGCCCACCTTTTGAACCATCCAGGTCAGGATTCTCAATATGATGTTCTTATGTAATTCTTTCATTAGGTCACTTCCTCCATTTCCGAACACTAACTGAGCCAGTAGGAAGTACATGTTTTATTATTTGTTGATGGTTTATTCTTTGAGGCCGTCTGCTTATGTTTTTCCACATTAACATAATGGTAGCTTCAAATTCCCATCTACTGGTTGGTTGCAATGGCATTCATAAAAAGTGTGATCTGCTTTCATTTGAAACTTTTTCCGTTGTAGTTCCTATATAGACCGTTTGATAGCCCATGTAGTTGTTTGCGCTGATCGATTGATTATTTGTCTCGAAACGTATTTCTTTGGGAGTTTCGGACTTCTGATTCACCGTAACAAAATTTCATGCTTTTCGGTTCTTTGCATGTAATTAATGGTGATTATAGGATTATGGGACATGACAGGCTCCACTTAACTGAAAGTTGTAGTTTTTTTCCAGGTTATGGGCCCATTTCTCCTGAAGGTCACCTTGACGAATCGTATATGTTAGGCCTTCCTTCCGTGAGTTATATGCCTCAAATAGTAGGAGTGCGAATTGGCCCGTCCGTAGAATATATTGTTGCTGTCCTGTCTATCTTAAGATGCGGGGAGGCCTTCTTGCCATTGGATCCATCATGGCCGGAGGAAAGGATACTTTCTGTCGTTTCTTCTTCTAGAACTCGTCTTGTTATTCAAGTGAAGGATGATTCCACGATGAAATACGGAGGGCGGCCAACGGGTGCTGGTGGTGCTGATTGGGTTGATGGGTGTGGCAGTTTGGTTATATACTTTTCTATGAAAGAAAAGCTTTTGAAGAATGTTGCCCAGGCTACAAATTTAGTTTGGCCATGTGAGAGCAACAGACAAAGGAAGTTTTGTTATTTGATGTACAGTTCCGGTTCAACTGGAGAGCCTAAGGGCGTATGCGGTACAGAATTAGGTAACCTGAATATTTATTCTTTTATTTTCATGACCAACATGCCTTTTGGCATCATACAACTGAATTTATCCTAGTTATGACATTTAAATATTTGTTTCGCTAATTAAAGTTCCATGCTAATGTATCTCAGTGATATTGGGAGCCTTATGGTGGATGACTAGCTTTTGGAGATTTCATTTCATGCATGCCTCTTAACCCTTAACTATTTTCCCTAATATCGTTATGTGACTCATAAGTTTAATTTCTTTATAATTATTACAATCTTAAACATCTTTTTTGTTCTTAAATAATTGTATGAAAATGCTTTTTCTCTCATCATTTGAGATCATCATAGGTCTGTTTGTTTCAGCTTTATCATAGCTTTGTTTTATGTAAGGGTTATTTGGTTTGAAAAAAAAACGAGTGTAAAGTATTTCAAATGCATAGGTTTTAAAACTATTGGTGTTTGGTTTGAAGTAAAAGAAATGCAATGCAAAATTTTGAATTATTTGGAATTCATTATTTTGCTCAATTTTGATGTATATAAAAATCATTAGATTTGACCGATTTCTAAATACATTATAAATTTTGTGCCATTGTCACCCTCGCCAGCCACCAATTGCAGTCGATCTCTGCAGCTAGCTGCGGACTGACGATCGCCGCTGTTCCCCCAGCTCTCGATGTCGTCGTCGAACACTACCTCCAACCACTGCCCACCAATTGCAGCTGGCCGTTGGTCGCCACCTGCCATTGACCACTATTTGCACCATCATTGTGTTCCGCATCGCCCCTACTGCCCCCTACTGCCTGCAATCATTATTGGTTGCTGTCGCCACCAACTGTCAACCACCGCCATTGTTGGGCTTTGCACTGTATTCATTTTACTTCATGCCTAAAAAAAAGAAAATAATTACCTGCATTTATTCTAAACTCATCCAATGAACTCAAATCATTTCAAATACATTACATTCCTTTTACACTACATTCTGTTTTGCTTTGCATTCTTTTTTTAGCAAATCAAATGGCCTGTAAGTTGCCACAATTCTCTTTGGCTAATACTTTCTTATTGCTATTCAGAAATTTTTGTGATGAGAAGCAGCTTTTATAAACTGAATTATTAGTGTATGATAGGTTTAAGAAAGCTTTTATCAAACTTTTTCAAAAGAAAAACAAAGATTTATGGTAAAAAATTTTCAAAAAAATTATTTTCCCTACAATAATTCTTTTGTTCATTATATATTTTTGAAATTATTTATTCATTAAAATTCCCATTTAATAATTCTTCAGAACAAATAAATACACAATACTCCTGCATCTTGCGTTCTTTGGTGGGTTAATTTATGTAGTCTTTTTGCATGGCTGTTACTTTATGCCAGATTCATGCATATGATATGATAAGCAGCATAATTTCAATCATGCGCAAGCACCAAGAGCAAGTTATCTATGTACTAGTTCTTTAACCAATTGCTTTTATCTCACATTAAAAATAAGGTTTCCCGAGCATTTAGTCACAAAATACATTTATACACAGCATTACAACAAGCATCGTTGTTTTAGTCTGTGCATTTATTTTTATGATCACATTGTGCTGCATCATGTATAAGTATGTATGTACAAAATTGACTAAACCATATACACCGAGGTGGTGATTCCGAAACATTGAGGTGGTACTTATGTTCCTCAAAGCTTAACTTCTTCATTCATGAACTTCTCTCTAAAATTATTTATTCAAACACAAGAGCATCCTAAAACAAATGATATTGGTTAAATCTATATAATCTTAAACTTATTTATGGATCGATCAGTTACACCATAGGTTATGCCTGCTTTTTGCTAACTTTATTTACAAAACATTAGTTCTATTACAAAATATTCCCCAACATTCATTCTTTGAGGCTTTCAGGCTCTCTTCTTTTTGTGAACCTTGGAAATAATATAAGTAATGCGAGCTTGTAGCAAACTCAGGAATGAATACTTCACAACTATTCAAGATGATCACGTGGGAGTTGACTAAACAATATTATTCTTTCATATTGGTGGATGTTTTTTTTGGCTATAACGGCAAACATACTCAGGAATTGGACAATGTGAATTGAAAGTTATTGCGGAGGCTCCCTTGTTATAGTTAAAAAAAATAAAAAAAAAAAAGAAAAAAAGAAAAAAAAAGAACAATAAAAAGAAAAACAGAATTGCAGGTTTTCCAATTTGATGCTTCACCACCAGCTCTGTTTTGCTTAGATGCCAACTCGCTTAAATTGGGCCCTTCAGGCCCTAATGTAGATCATTACCATGAGATCTCTCTCTGAACTTACTCATTTCAATATATAGTGCAAAAAATTCAGTTCTTTATTCAAAGAAATCCAATATAACTGCACCAGTTTTTTTTAGGCCATTTTTCATTCTTTGCAGCCACCAGGAAATAAGCTATTAGGTATGCATTGTTTTTCATATTTATGGGGTTAAGATGGTATTAAAATTTTAGGACTAAACATTTCTTTTCTAATACTAGCCTCTTCAAAGAAAGGGCGTGTAATCTAGTAATATGTACCAGTCTGTCAATAACCCTCGAGTGTCATATAAGCTCCACTGATTTACGACAACGATCCTTACCCAATATAGAAAATTCTGATATCATTGTTATGGCAAATGCTTTTCAAAGAAACCCTGGGATTTCAGCCAGTCCTAGGCCACCATTGAGCAAATTCTTTTTCTGACATCCCTTGAAATTTAGGCCAAAATATTCACAATCCACTGATTTATAGCCCTCAGAACCATGGTTAATAGATAAAAGCACTTGTAGGGCAAGTCTGATGAGTTGCATATCTTTGTCATAATTGGCATGGCTATACTTTTTTTAAGGTTGAATGTTTAGCATGAGAGTGAGAAAAATTCGCTAACAGTGTTCATCTCTTCTATCTTGTACCTCAAGTATTTTATTTCAAAGTTATTCACATAATTTTTGTAATACCTTGCGAATGTTCAACTGTTTTTGTTTGAATTTTTTTATTTCTCCAGTGATTTCTCAACTGAGGTGTATTTACATGTTTAGGTCTTCTTAACAGATATTGGTGGATGCAAGATCAGTATCCCATATCCCAGGAGGATGTTTTGTTGTTCAATACGTCTATCAGCTTTGTTGATCATCTTCAGGAGTTCCTTGGTGCTATTTTGGCGTGTGCCTTGCTTGTTATTCCTCCCTATCATGAGTTGAAATATCCTGAATATACTGTTGATTTCCTTAAGGTGTTGACTGATCTTAGATTTTAAATGAGATTTGTTTCCTTTCTACTTCCAAAATTTCCCATTTATCACTCAATGGTTGATAAGACTTTTATGTGGATCCTTCAATGTAATGATTCCTGCATACTTTCATGCTCCTCGTTTTGTTTATATTCTAAATTATAGTCAAACTATGATTTTGGTTAACATGTAGGAGGCCCAATGATGCAGCACAAGAAAGGGGATTACAAGAACCTCATGATGCTTTGTTTATTTGCATGAAGTTTTTTTATTTTATTTTTAATTATTGTAATATTTTAATCCATAAGTTGTAATTATATATTGAACTATTAAAATATGTCGGTAATGTTTAGTAGTGACTAGTGAGGTATGCTTCATCTAACTGTGGTTAGCCTTATATATAAAGGTACATCAAGGTGCCCATGCATTGGCTTGTGGATGTAATTCCTCATGCAATGAAGCCCAATTGAGCTTTACATGCTTAGAGTAGTGCAAAGCTTGTCCATCCTTGGATTTCTCATGCAAGCGATGGCCAGATGGAGGTCAATTTAACTGCAAAAGAGTTATAAACCAACAAACCCACCATCTTCTTAAATTCAAGTAGTCATTTTCCACATTTCAAGTTGTGACATCCTCCATTACTTGGAATCTTCTCTGCATTAGTTAAAAATTTGAGTATGAGTGTTAATAAAGGACCCAAAAAGATAACTTGGTGTGAACCCGACTAACAAAATTTAGGTTTAATTTGACTTGATCATTATTCAGGTCAAGTTCTTAGACTCAATTATTATTCGGGTGGATTTTGGGTTGACCTAAACAACTTGAAATCAACTCAAAATTGATTTGATTACTGTTCTGGTTCCGATTTTGAAGAGTTAGAAATATATTGTTAAATAAACATATATAATTTTAGGTGAACATGCCATATTTGACATAGTTGAGTTATGTTGATCCAAAAAGTTACACGTTCCATATGATAAATGGGTTAGACTGGTCGGCTTAGGTGGGTTTAGGTTAAGTTAGGTTTGGATCCAACCTTTTGGTCCTTATAATAAACATGGAAGGTTTAGCTAAAGCAGATTCGAGTAAGGTCAGCTGTTAGTTAGATTCGAACTTAATCCATCAAGTTGATTTGACACTCCTAAATTTGAATGATGTAAGGGCTTTCAAATGTTGCAAACTTTTCTAAGGATAAAATTTTGGCTAAATTAAATCAAGAGAAGTTTATCTTCTCTGTGGATCTTGTTTGGTGGATTGATCTTAAGGTTGAAAGGTTGGTGGCCTAGAATTGGATTGCTACTTTGGTGTTTTTAAAATTTTTTGTAGATTTTGTTATTTTCTTTGTTGAGGTTCAAACAACCCTTGGCCCCACCTCAAGGCCCATAAATAAGTCCCATATAAGAGCCACCTCTCATCCACCTCACATAAGCCATCACTTTCCCATCTTAGCCATCACTCCCTCCCAAGTGATCACCACACCTCCATTTCATAAACAACAAATCCTCACTCTTTTCACCACATTAGGCCCATTACCAAGTGGATCTATTTTCTAATGCCAAAATAATTAATGTAGACATTTTTCCCCCTTTTATGCATTCAAAGAAAGATGCTTACTTCTTAATATGGTTGCAAATAAACCAATAAAATTGATAAGTTACTTGTAGCTTTGCACGATTAGATCTTGATCATAATCATTTAATTAATTAATCAAACAGGCTTGAATATTTTTATAATTACTCCATTTATAGGTGAACAAGCTTGAATATCTTGTTATTTGATTTGTTTATGATTGTGAACAATATTATTAAAAGGTCGTGAATAAGCTCGTTAAGAAGCTCGATTAAGGGTCGATTACAAATTTATTTAATTGTGATTATGTGGCTGGCTTGTTCTTTTATATGTTAGATTCTTTTATTCTTGAGCACAAATTGGTTATTTATGTTCGTTAAAATATATATATATTTTAATTTTGTAATTCATCCAATTAAAATCTCTTTTTGAAGTTCAAGAGATTGTTTATTAATAAGTTGTCATCAACAAAGATTAGAAAAAATAGAAAAAAATTGTAAGAAATTGAAAGAAAAAGAGAAGTGTGTATTTTTTGACTCTTCGCAAAACTTGGTTTCACGTCTTCAACAAAGTTGCCCCTTGTACAAAGAAAAAAATGCAAGGAAATGACCACCCAAATTTTAGTGCCTGTGTGTGTTGTTTCAACTTGGTGGAGAAATTTGTACATAAGTTCTTGTTTGCATTTTTTCACTGTGGAGGAAAAATCTGTGTATTTCATCGTGCAAGTGATGAGGCTTATAAGCAATTTTTTAAGCATAGCAGGATTGAAGATCATTGGTTGCAGTGCGATTGATGCCAATAAAGCATGTTTTTTTTAAGCGTGGTGGGAATGCCTAACACTCCCTGTGGGTGACCTTACGACATTGGGATGCTACAAAAAAATTTAATGACAAGGCTTAGGAAGAACAATTAAAATGAACATTTTGTACTACAAATGTGACAAAAGAAAAAATGAATACAATAAAAATATAATTACAAAAATCATCAAAATAAGAACAATTTTGGACACTTTAAAATGCAATGTTTGTTGTTTCAAATGAACTACAAGAAAAATAAGTGAACACAAATTGAACATTGAATTGGACAATAGGGAACCCAACAACTTTCCTAACGAGCATGAATATGACATCAGATTTTTAGAAGACTCGAAATTGTGAGGTATAATTGAACTTGAAAATGTTTAAATGAGGGCCTCTATTTTGAAAGTAAAGGAATGCTCTTGTGGGGTCTATCTGGACATTCGATGAGGACTATATGTAAGCAAGCCAAGTTTACTTTGAATGCACAATAATAATCTAAATTATAAAAACTTGCCATCAAATCTATAATACGTACATGCAAGAGGGTAAAAAGGTGGTCTTTAAAAAGTTCTAAATGAAATATTGTGCATATTTTAATGGTAAAATATTCACGCTAATAATTAAATCCAAATATTTCCAAATAATACGCATACCATAAAACAACTTCCAAACTGAAATATAATGTTTTGAAAAGCGTGCAAATGCATCATTTTAAGCGCACTATGCAAATCCATCGTACTATTATATTGAGAATTGTGCAAATGCAGTGAAAATGGTCAAGTGCATCGAAATATATACAAATGTATCATAAAAATGAATAAAAAAGCATGTGAGTGCATCATGCAAAATCACCGTGCAAGTGCATCAAGAAGTGTGCACTCCCTTGATTCGTGTGTAACTACTATGAGAAGCACGCAAATGCTTTGAGAAGTGTGCAACTACAATGAGAAGCATGCAATTGTTTCGATAAGCATGCCAATGCTAAAAAAGAGTCGCGATAAATTTTTAGAAGTGTCCTTTATATATCTTTTAAAAGCATATAAAATTAACAAAAGTCAAATGCATGTATATGCATGTATATGATTTGAATAAAGTGATAGTTATTTAAAATTAAAATAAGAGAATGTTGCACCGACCATAAAATGACATGGAATTGCACATCTTCAAGAATCATGCAATTACTTTGAAAAGAGAACAATCTTTTTGAAATTTGTAATAGTTTTAAATCCAATCGATAATTCATCAACATGTGCACACGTTCTATAGCGGGCCACTTTTCTTATAGGCCATGCTCGCAAGTCCCATTTTTCAAGTCCGATCGTTCATGACATAAAATTTAGAGTTGACAAGGCTTGAACATCTTAAACTTTGTCTTCTGCAAGCAAGTGGGTAGAGTCAACAAAGATCAATACAATAAAGTCTAATCAAATAAAGAACTCTTATGATGTGCATGGTTTTTGTATATTATAATTGGAGGGGTCTACTTTCAAAAAATAAGATTATTAAATTGCAAATATTAATGATATAAACAATCCAATCTTTATGATTGTTGTGTTGATAATATATTTTAACTGAAGGTGATTTTATTTTTTGAAATGCTCCAAATTCCATACTCAATCATTTTTGGCCTAAATTCAAATAAAAAAATGCAAAATTCTAAAAAAAGTTATAAAATTCAAAATGTTATAAGCAAACTTAATCTCTTTACCGTAACACAAGCATCCATTTATCATCTATAATAGTTTGCCAAATGTGACAAAGTTTTGATTAACCTTAGCTCATAAGAAGTCAATGTTATAGCAAGCGTTACTATGATCATTCTCAAAAGATCTTTTGCTAGTAAGGACTTGACACACATCCTTTTACTAACGATTTTATCGTCAAATAACATTAGTGGTTATGAATTGTGCTCTTTAAAGCGGTGTTTTTTGTCACTACTAAATTACGGTCACGACCATAGTTTGGATGGTCCTTAATGGATTCAAATTCAATGAGTGGTGAATTATAGTGCTCTTAATATATCCTTTGGACGATATTTGTCATGATTGTGGATCCTTTAGTTAGGTTGGGCTGATTACCTTTGCTGACTAAGTAGATTAAGGTCCATGTAATTTGGGAAGATGGAATCATGAGACTTAATCAAGTTTTTCATCATTCTTCCACCATCTGCTTTAAGCTAATGGTAGTGAAAATTTTTAATCATTAAGCCAAAATCGCTATTATTATACTCTATGCACTTACTGCCTAACAATTAGCTTTAGTTAAAAGTTATCTTCCATTATTGGGAAGGGGTAATTAAGCATAGGGATTTGTGCCAATGGGAAATTTGGAACTAGATTAAAGTTCTCACTAAATGATTGAGTAATTTTTTGGGTAGTTTTTTATCTGCAATCTAATCCACCTTTTGAAAATTTGATTTGGAGCAAAACTCTCTCAAAGGATTTAGTCACAAATTTTTAGATCCCATAGTTTAAGTGGTTTGCACCGCTATTATGTAATCTTTAAAGTTCACTTTATTATCAGCAGCATTGAGGGTTGCGGGTTTCATCATTTCAACAATAAGTGATTTAGCTTTGTGTGCATATTGAGGTTGGGGAATTGTGAAAATGCTCAGTTCTACTATATATATAACTTCCATGTTTTAGTGGGACTAATTAACATTCTCACGTCTTCTAATCTGAGATATCCAAATACCAAACTAATTTGTTGAAATGAGATTTATGAAGAAACGTGTGCTTGCAATATAGTTTTGGCCCTTCTTTCCCCCTGTTATGGAGGCTTAAAAATCCGCACCATATTTTGCTTGACATGCCAATTATGATAACTAGTGAATTTTATTAAGTTGCAGTAATAGCTCATTTTTATGTTGCCATTTGCAAGTTCGATCTCATGGCTTTTCTTATGTTCAATTTTGATCTTTTCAGGCATATGGCATTTCCAGGCTTACCACTGTTCCATCTCTAGTGAGGGAGCTTCTTCCTTCCTTTGATATTTCACCGTGCGCACAATTTATTAAGTCACTGAAAGTATTGGTGCTTAGTGGGGAAATCTTAGCTATATCTTTGTGGAGAGACTTGCATGATCGTTTACGGGAGACCACCATCTTAAATTTATATGGAAGTACAGAGGTTCGTAGTTTACATAACTTTAAGTTATGTTTAGCCTTTGTTGTATTGGGGCTATAAGCAATCAATCTTTCGTTTGGATGTTTAGAAGTCCTAGGTGCACAATAATTTTCACTTGCTGGATTATTAAATTTGATTTTTTTCTTGTGTTACGAACTGGTATATTTTTAACACTCTCAAATGACAATTGCCAGGTTTGATAAGGTCAGTTGTAATTCTAGATGGAATTATTGTGGAAATCTTTACAGCCACTGCTAAAAAATCATGATTTTTATCCGATCTAGTGACAGACAGAATTGTTGGTTCTTTGAAAACAATATCTTACAAGTACTAATCTGGCTGTATCATTCCTGAAACAATGGTACGATAGCTTCATTCTCTGGAAAGAGGGTGATAAGTCTGCATCAAAGTTATGTGCAACTATACTTCTCTTAGGATTAATTGTTTGTGAAATAATGACTTGTGGAATCGCCCTACATTCCAGGCTCATCAGTTTGGTACTTAATAACTTCAAAACATATTTATGAAGTTTATATAAGCATGCTTATTAAATTTGATAACATATGAATGATTTTTTTGTAAATAAAAATAGTGACTTATTTACATCCAGAAAAATATGTTGAATTTCCCAAATTATTATGATTTCTCTAGTAAATATGATTTATTTACTTGGTAGAATATGAAAAAAATCCTAGATAGCATAGATTACCGCTCAATAATCCAAATGCTTAACTTTACCACTTAAAGCTGAGTTGTGATTGTTATCTATTATAGTGATATTAGTCATATTATGTGGTTCCATAAGGTTCTAGGGAATTGCAAGGCAGTGGCACCAGAAAGCAGCCTAACTGCTAAGTACCCATGTATTGTCGTCTTCTTTGTTAATCATTTTCCTGGAACAGTTCTGGAAGGTTCTAGACAATTGCAAGTGCAGTGGTACTAGAAAGCTGTCTGTCTACCTAGCAGGCGAGCACTGATATGTCCTCTTCCATCATTGCTGGTGTTGCCCAACAGATGATCAATTTCTCAAGAAAACTTTTCAAGAGTTTTTAATCTAGAAGTCTATACCATAGAAGTTTGCAATATGCAATTTACTCTATTCTATTCCTAATACTATCCCGCAGTCAATGTATTTATCCATTTTTTCTATTTATTTTAATTTGAAAAAGCAATGATCACTTGAAACATTGATGCATGATTGCATGTACGCAGTAGATTCAGGATATGATTATTTAAGGGTAATCATTAAGTTGTCTTTTTTACTTTCTAAATTAAGTGTAACCATAAAATAATGGAGAATCCTTTATCTGATATGAAAATTTATGTAGTTTTTTAAATGCATGTAGTATGAATTTTTTGTGGTTTTTGACTAAATAATTTAGTCAAGACCTCACAAATTTAAATATAATATTGAGAATAAAATACTACAACAACAATAATAGGATTTTAAGAGTTAAATTTTCATTTTTTGAAACTGTAACCAATAATAAAAGAGATCCTGTTTAATTAAATATATTGGTTAGAGAAAATTCTTTGGGTAAATAAAGAAATGCTAGTTTTGTTATCAAGACCATGGTAAAATAACGTTTTTTTCTCCTACATAATATATTATTTTCTATACTAAACTTGATCACAAAATATTTCAAATCCATTGAGGATAAAGATGATGGATGGGGACCATTGCTTGTTAAAAATATATATAAATAACAAACTAAAACTAAAGAAGGAATGAAGAAGATAAAAAATTGAGTTTAATTTTGTTTTTCATAATTTTATTTATATTGATAATTAAGACAACTTTTTTATTTTAGTACTCTTTTTTCCCTTTTACGGGCATTTTTGTGACACTATATTGTATGAGAGAGGCGATTAACTTAAAGGCTATGATGCACCGACACGGACACGACACGACACTGACACAGGACACGACATTTTTTAAAAATATAGGACACGGGTGCGGCGTGGACACGGTATAAGAATTTTTTAATATAATATATAGAAATTAAGACGACATTGTATTAAAAATGACAAGGAATAATAAATCAATTTCATGATAACTTGTTTAGCTTATAACATAAAAAATGTTTAGTACAAAATATCAGTACAACCACAAAAATATAAGCAAAAAACCATTTAGTATAATATGAAGGTCCAACTACTCAATAGAGGGAATGATAGAATTAGGATCAGATGTTGATTTTTAACCATTAATATCATTATCATTGAATATCATTGCTTCCAATTCTGGTTCATCTAGAGAAAGATTTGCAACCTCCAATAATCTCATATCTTCAAGGCACTCGAACCCATCTTCAGTAACATCCCACATCTTATTATCACATGTCATATAAAGTGAGGTTTTCCTTGATAGAAGACGAAGATTATATTCCTCCTAAATCATAATGGATATTCTCTATTTGAACTACTATCCTTCAACATAGAAATTATAATTGATATGAAGTGAAATCAAAATATCTCAATAATAAGACAGCATGAATACAACAATATATCGGTCTTTCGGGGTCCAATGGGGCTCTCCTCTAGTGGGGTTCGACCTGTCAGGGTAGGAGTAATTTTGAAGTTTTGCTTGTTTTTAAAGTTCGTAGGTTATTTGTATGGAAAGATATCGAGTTGTATCGAGCATGTACTGAGCGGTACCGAGCATGTACCTAACAGTACCGAGCTTGTACCTAGCGGTACCAAGCATGTACGGAGCGGTACCGAGCATGTTCATTAGCTTTTTTGGTAAGTTTCAAAAAATTACAATTAATATTTCAGGCGTCGAGAGTCAGGCGTCGATGTTATTTATCAGTTACCGAGAGAGGAGATGAAAATACCTTCACTGCCAAAAAGAAATTAAAATGAGAATATTCGATGATTGGGTGTTAAGTGCGGACGTTGATTTGATGTTGTGGATAGAAAATAAGAAATTTAGTTTAAATCCCGCAAAATACAAGAAATTATATTTTAAAAAATTCATAAACTATTTAAGATACGCGTGTTCGACACGTGTGTCCAATTTGCATTTAATATTTTTTAATCGGACACGTTTTCGGTGTGTCTGACACGTGTCGGAGGAGTTTCGGATGAGTGTCGTGTCGGACACGGTGTCGGACACTGCACGCCTCTTTGAGGAGAAGTGTCGGTGCATCATAGCTTAAAGGCTATGAAGTGCATACATTTTTTAATGCCTTTTTCTTTCATGTAAGTCATTCATAGGTCTCCAAAACTTCCTGACAAGTCATGCTTGAGTTATTTTTTCTCAATAATAGAGCTTTACATGATATTGACACACATTTACATGTAAATGCCATGCATATAATATATTTTAAGCCTTTTTTTTGTTTTGTTTTGTTTTTGGTTTAGTGTTAATGGTCTGGTTTAGTATTAGATTTTGGTTTAGTTTGTTATTACCTCTTCAACATTGAAAACATTTTGACTCTTATAGGGGGTCGATTGGTTTCAGTCATACTCTCACTTGGTCATGTCCAAGTTACCAAATTCACATGTCACCATTATCTTGTGTGATCTTCTATCGTATGTTTCCTTTAACGCACAACTGCTTTGGTGGGCCTCCATCTTCACCAAGTCTTCTTGGTTGAGCTTATCATGGTGTTATCATTTCATTTCTCATGCCAACGATGCTCTCCATCTTCGCGACATGCCTTTGAAGGTCTTATTTTTAGGTTAGTTGCTCTATGCTCTCCATCTTCGCCGTGACATGCTTTTGAAGGTCTTACCATTTCATTTCTCATGCCACGATGTTCTCCATCTTTGCCGTGACATGCCTTTGAAGGTCTTTGATAGGAAGCACTTGAAGATTTCAAGTAAATCCTATCAATTTCAAAAAAACAACGAGAAATCTCCACAAATCAACAAAAAATCGGAGAAAATTAAGAATTTTATTGCAAGAACGCAAACTAACGGAAGATTGACATCTTACCTGAAAGATTGACATCTTCAGTTTGCTATTGGAGCCTAAAGGTCTTATTTTTAGGTTAGATCCACCTGTGATCATCCCCCCCTCAAAGATTGACATCTTCAGTTTTCTCACTCTCGGATCACCTCCGTTCCCTATGTTCCCTCCATAATTTTCCATTCCCCAAGGGGTGGTTCTCCCCAAGTGTCCCAGTCATCACTTCTACGCTCATACCCATACCTTTCATCAACTTCACACATTCTCCTTTCAAATTCAACACCCCTTGGATCATAATAAACCCATCTCCTTTCAAGTTCAGCCCCCCTTCGGTCATAATTTCCTCTTTCCCTTTAAAAATCTGCCCCTTTCGGCTCAAATTCAACACCCATTCATTCTTGCTCCTCCTCCTCACATCTCTCCGCATACCCTCTACCAGGTTCTTCCCTAGGAATAAGCTCTAGGGAAGGTATTTTCTCGTCTCTCTTCCGAGTCTCCGCCTCCTGATCTTCCCTTCATCAGATTGGTTTAGGATTTTCTCCACTTCCTTGTTCGTCAGCACCTTCCCGCACGTTCGATGGCAATATTTTTGGTTTGGCTCTTGAGCACTTTCTTCAACATCTCCCCCAGGCTAGAAAAATTCCCATCCATCTTCTCGTTGATGGCTGAAATTTGACTTTTGACATCTGAAAGTTGAGCATGGAGATATGAAATTTCAATTTTCAATGTCCGATCTCCCCTTCCAACATTTCTACTTTTTTTCCTGCCATGGGAACCTAGATTTAGGCTCCAATAGAAAATAGTAACAAGTTTGACCCGAATTCTGATCTCCAATCAGCAAAAACAACAAGATCATATACGGAATGCAGCAAAATCCAGCGAGGAAGACTTCTATTTCAGCAGAGGAAATTGCTCTGATACCAATTTGATATGAAACACTTGAAGATTTCAAGTAAATCCTATCAATTTCGGGAAAAAAAATAGCGATCAATCTTTAGAAATCCAACGGAAAATCAAAGAAAAACTGAAATTTTATTGCAAGAATACAAACTAATGGAAGAAAATAATAAGATACAATTGATCCTCTATTCGAGAGGAGGATCTATCTCTTCTAAATCTCGAGATGCCACTAGAGCCCAAAAACCTAAACCTAAGAGATCCAAATTTCAACCAAATTCAAGCCCTACAATTCAAAAGGAAATCTCTAAACAACCCCTACTTTGAAATTTCCCTTCTAATACCCTAAAAAATCCTTCCTAAACAACTCTCTCATGTCGAGGCGATCTGATCGTGCGTACTTGAGGCGGAACTTCTGTCTGTTTAGTCCGTAAGCTGGTCCATTATGGACCGGCTGGACCGGTCTAACAGTTTTATCTTTAGATTAGTTTCTCTCTTCTTTCCCACTCATGTATGATTTAACTTTCTTTTTTAAATCCTAATTTTATACCTTTGGTTATTTTTATTTATTTTATTTTCTTAGCAATTTGGATCTTATTTTATTTAAGGGATTTAGATACATCATACATGTCACTTTAAATATCTTAATTTACATATCTATTATCTAAAAATTTATATTTACTGATATAACATCTAAAATTTTCTTGTAACTCATATCTATTACCACTATTATCCTCCCTTTCCTGCATATTAAAAAAAAAAAAACCTTTGTTCCCTGCACATTACATAGTGATTTAATATAACTTTATTTGTTCTCCATCAGCTCTGTGATGGCGCCAGCTTGCACTTAGGTGTTACTAGCCCCAATTGAGCTTTGCGACACCCACGCACTACAAACATGCTATTGCGGTAGTTCTAGCTAAGAGAAGCTCTAAGGCATCCAAACACTCATCTTCATCCCTGGTTGATAAACTCGAGCTTGGTTCCAATGAATTTGTCAGCGTGAATTGGGCTTTTGCTATTATTGAATTATTGCCCTTCACACCAGAGAATTTTTTTAATGTACCATGGATGGAAGGTACATGAGTGGTAGATTTAAGCTATTAGGGAGTTTTAAGTTTTATATGAATAAGTAGAAACTCTTAGGTATTTTAGATACATAAATTAAGTTGCTTAAAATAGCATGTCTGTGAATCCCCCTTTTTAATATGCATTAAATTTTCAGACAATAATAATAAAAAAAAATTGGTGTTATTTTTCATGAATAAGGGTTCAGGATCTTAAAGCAAAGTTTAATTTTCTTTTGCTTGATCTATATGATATATACTTCATTATGCAATAAATTTTTTTAATAGAAAAAATTAATTAGATATTTTGATTAAATATTTTACATTGATAATTTGAAAAGAAAGTACCATTTCCATGGCATGTCAGGTATTTTAATAGTTGTTTTGACCATGTGCCCATGTCTCGTGTTGGTTTCTGTGTCATAAATTAGAGGATGTGAATAATTTGCTTTTTACAAAGGAGGTCATATTGTAAGCTTGAGGGAGTGAATGAAGAAATATTGGTGGAAGATTTTTTGGTTAGGGAAAACCTTTGAGAAGAGTTTTACCTTTTATTGGCAAGAACAAGACTTATTTTTATTGTTAGAAGATACGGCACATCAAGAAGGATTGTCAAGTATTGAAGAGGAAGGAACAACATACATGTAATCAAGGTTGTGAAAATCGAACCAGATATTGAATCGGAACTCGGAAGAAAGAGAGGTATTATTTCACATCTTAATTTGGACCCACATGCTTATTTACACCTTAAGGGACTTCAATGGATGCTTTTATTTCCTTCAGAACCAAGCATTACGAAGCAATACAAATGAAATCATTAAATTGACCACCTTAAAATTGCTAATACAATTCCCTTTTTGGAAGTGTGAATTCTCCATTTATCTTCATTACAGGTAACCAACGAGGTATGAAGTAATGATTGGGAGGTTTGTTTTCAGATTTTGTGTCGGCATTGTAGATTGATTGGCCTTTAGAATGGGGGCACATTTGCATCTTATGGTGCTTTGTTGATTCTTTAACCATACACCCTTGGTTGTGCACTTCCCATAAATCTGGGCTTCTGATAATTGGTAGCGCCAAGTGGTCGTAGGACAAAAACACCGGTTTTGTTTTGATCTCTTGCTAGTGCCAATAGTGGAAGAATGAGGAAAATTCCACAAGTTGGGATGTTCATCCCATGTGCTCCATTTGTTGGCTTGCTTTCCTTTGTGGATACAACTCTATCGAATGACCAAGAGACTTAAATTAAAACTTTGGTGTTCTGATTGTTTGTTGTCTTTGGTTGATGAAATGAATGATCTTAAGGATAAGCCTACTGATTAGGAAGTTATCCAGCGATCACAGATGATGTTGATTATTCTAAAGTGGCTATCATTATGCTGAATGACATGGAGGTTCATTCATGCTGTTTTTCCTAATTTTCTTGCTTTTTCTTAATTAATATAAGTTATCACGATGGTCACATATTGCATAATTGTTTTAATTCTGGCTTTTTTCCATTCTTCAGGTAGCTGGTGATTGTGCATGCTTTGACTGCAAAAACATGCCAGATATTTTAGAAGCCGAAGTTCTAAGCAGTGTGCCGATTGGAAAACCTATATCTAATTGTGGAATTGATATTCTTGGTGAACGAAGCAAAGATAATGTAGGTGAAATATGTGTTAGCGGGATGTGCTTATTTGCGGGATACATTGGTGAGATTTATCCCGGACAAACGTTAAAAGATGATTGCACGCAATTGCATTTTAAAACTGGTGATAGGGCCAGACGTCTCCCAAGTGGTGATTTTGTCTTCCTTGGCAGAGAAGATCGTATTGTTAAAGTTAGAGGACAACGTATCTCTTTGGAGGAGATTGAAAACGTGCTAAGGGAGCATCCTGCCATAAGGGATGCTGCTGTGATTGTTGAAAATACAAACGGAGATTGCTGCCATGTTGAGGCTTTCTTTGTTGTTAGGGCAACTGATGAGTGCTTGGAAGCGGCTGTAAACTGTGTAAATAGAGATGATGATGAGGAGTTGATTGCTTCTATCAAAAGTTGGTTGTTAAGAAAGTTACCACCAGCGATGTTGCCCACCATTTTTGTTCGAACAGAAATGTTGCCCAAGACTTCCTCTGGAAAGATAGATTATTCAATGTTAAGAAGTTCAACATACGCACCAATGAAGCTTAGGAGGGAATATAAAAGAAACATCTCTGACAATCATCGTCTGCAACTTGTCAAAAAGGTTATTTTTTGTTCTTTTATTTTCTAGCATTTGTTTTATTTGGCAAAACTATAATTTTTGGCTCTATTGACGATTGCAGTTTGTTCATTGTATTTAAGAATTAGTAGGTGACTAGGTGGCAACCTTGACCATAGGCATGTTTGTGCATTTCGTGGCTAGAAATATGGACTGATAGTTCTAATGTAAAATTGAAAAAAAGAAGCGCTATTAGTTTATTTCTGCATATTATTGATTATTAGGTTACCATGCCAACTTGTTTTTGTTTTTGAGTTCTCTCTATGTATTTCCGGTTACCAAGAAGCTTATTTCACATTATGTCTGCTTGATTATAAGGTTTTTTGTCTTGCAAACTCTGCTCTATTATTGATTTTTTCACTTCTGAGTGTTTGTACTGTTTTTTTGGAAGGTTAAGTTTCTAGTTGTTTTTCTTTTGTTTTTTGTAGAAGAGTTTTTGTTGAATTTTTTACTACTAGTGTTGACTTTGCCTATAATTGTTATGGTTTGAAAGTGTTTTTCTCTCATTTTATGCTCAGAGAACACAACGTGTTACTACAGGTATGGGTTTTAAAATAGATTGTGGGTACCAAACTTGATTGTCAATAGTTCCAACAAATATGCGAGCGAAACTACTAAGACATGGATGTATGGCTTCATAAAGGATGAATTTTTCTGTCGGAATAGAGAAATTATTTATGGAACTGGATTAATCAATATGATACTTCATATTTGTAGGCTCTGCATGCACCTTCTGCATTCTACATGCCAGTCAGCTAATCTTGCAGCACATACTTATTTTTCTAGATGTGTTTCCGTTTTAGGCATTCCTTGCTGCACTGCCTGTGGAAGATGTGTCAGATGATGACGATTTCTTCATGATAGGAGGCAACTCAATATCTGCTGCTCATGTTGCATATAATTTGGGAATCGACATGAGGTTGCTTTATGTCTTTCCTAGCCCATTTAGGTTAATAAAAGCTTTGTTGGATCTGAAGCAGAATGGAGGTCTTTCTAATACCGATGTCATGTTTGAGAAAACATTAAGAGTGGACAATAGCATGCTGAGTTCGTTTGAATTAACAAGAGATATTCGGAATAACAAGTTACTTGGAGAATTAGTGGAGGAAAATGCTGGAATAAGAATTCATGATCTTGTGAAATTAAATGGGAGTCAGATAACGAACCTGCCTAAAAAGAATGAAAGATTGACATCTTGCGATGAATCTAAGAAAATTACATATTTTCGTTCTAGTCCGTATGGTGATTTATCATCAATTATGGATGATCCATGGCTATCTAATTGCGGACTTCCTAGGAGGTGTTCATTTAGTCGTTGCAACTCAATTATGGTAGGATCTGAAAGTTTATTGAAACCCAAACTTCAAGGTTGCGTATCTCTTGAATTTACAATGCATGGAAGAGGCCATATACAAGAATTGTGGAAGGTCTTGCTTGAGTCATGCGTGGATGCTTCGCCAGTTGTCATGTTGAAAGATGGCAATGTTTTCCTTTTCATTGGTTCCCATTCACAAATTTTTCTTTGCATAGATGCTTTCAGGTACTTTAACATTTTATAGAACATAGAACAATAAATTTATGGATTGTGATATAATTGTTATAATTTTCCAGTCAGTTCTTTCATCATTCATCTATAAATTTTGAATGACATCACTTTTTTGATTTTTGGGGGGAGGGGAGAAAACTTCAATTCATGGTTTGAGCATTTTAGATACACAATTTGGATCTTAAAAACATTAAATGGATGCAAATAATTTCGATCATTCAAATATAATAGTGAAAATTAGTTGCCATCACTTTATATTTATAGTAATTGGGTTTTCATAGAGAAGGACAAATAAATGCAATCTTAATCCAATCCATTCCCAACAAATTTTCAATTTAAATATATTCTAATTCAAAGCAGATAATCACCTAATTAAATAATTCAAATTAAAAAAAAAAAACTAAAATAAATTCATTCATCATCATAAATGGGACTAAAATATTAGAAAATAGGCATGATTTATCTGTTTTGTGGTTTTATTGGACTTCTAGTTACTGAATTGTGGTGTAATACTCATTATTTTTCAGTCACTTCTTCATTCATCTTTAAATCTTGAAAGACATCGCTTCACTGATGGAGGGGGGAGAAACAAGAGAAAACTTCAAACACATAGTTGAAGCATTTTGCGTACATAACTTGGATACTAAAAAAACTGAATTGGTCATTCAAATATAATAGTAAAAATTACTTGCCATCACGCTGTACTTACAGAAATTGGGTTACATAAATAAGGTCAAACATATGCAATCTAATCCTATCCAATTTCAACAAATTTTAAATTTAAACTTATTCTAATAAAAAATTGATAATCATCTAATAAAATAATTCAAATAAAAAAAATAAAAAAATTCGACGATAAACATAAATGGGCCTAAAATGTTTGAAAGTAGGCATGATTTATATCTGTTTTTGGTCTGATTAGTCTTTCTAGTTATTGGACATGGCTATTTGAGCTTTTGTAGACAATTGTTTTAGCCTGTTTGAAATCCAACACTTCATCAACTCCCTGGGGTGCTAAGAATTCTACCCCAGAGAGTTAAGATTGTCATCAAGGTGTTCAAGAGCCAGCTGTTCTTCCTCCCTGGTCATTTAGGTATAAGTTTAAGAAGGTTTGTCATTTCATTTGACATGGAAATATGTGCTCAACATTTTTCTCAAGCATCACTTCATCTGAAATGGTACTTTGAACATCTTGGTTGATAGGCCGAACTAGAATCATTGGTTTGTGGAGGCAACAACTGCTATAAAAATTCCCACTATTGATGTAGACAAGGGATATAGGGAGCCTATATCACTTGAATACAAAAAAAAAAAAAAAAAAAACACACACAAGAAAGAAAACTGACAAAAGAGTAAAACTTAAAACAAACTTTGTTAAATAAACTTAAACGACCCAAAACTTGACAATCACAACAAAAGATGTTAGGAGAAATAAAGAAACTTAAAAAGACGCTATCCTCAGACAACCGTCAGAGCGGGTTCCTCACATGCATCGAATTTGTAGGTTAAATAAGTAAAGTGCATAAGACTAGCAAACCGATGGTCCACCACTGCAAGATTGGACAATTTCTTCAACAGACGCTTCAAATCAACTCTGATATGACACCCTAAAGTTGCTTCACTTTGAGAAGAAGGATACAGATGGAGTGGCACTTGCGGAGAGACGAAAGAGGTTAGAAGCCCGAGAAGAAAGGGTGGAAAGAGCCCGCAGGATTTCCGGAGGGGATGAGAAACGAAGGTTGGAAAGAGCCCGCAGGATTTCCGAATAAACCCGCAGGTTAATAGCAAATATGCTCACAAATATCAACTGCCATTCTTCATAACAACATCTCCAATTTATAGGCAAAGAAGAGGAATGCCAAAAGCTACTTCATAATTGTTTACAAGCTCCCAAGCATTTGTTTCATAAGATTTCCAAAAGACATTTTGGAAAAACAGCCCAGCAGTTCACGGAACCAAGGCAGGCGGAAATTTCCAAGCGGCACAGCAACGGGAAAAGCCTCCCAATTCGGAAAAACAGCCCCAATTAAAACCAGAACAGGAATCAAAGGGCTATTTCATGGAACCAAGGAGACTAAAGTTTCGGAAATAGGCCATGCATGGAAATATCAGCCAACAGTAATGTCTAGCATTAAAAACATTAACTTCCCCAGTTGAATTCAGCCCATCTCACGCGAACCAAGGAGCCACGAGAATTCAAGAGCAGCACAGCAACAGGAAAAAATTCCAGTTCGGAAAAACAAAGGCCGGATGGACCTCCAAGGGAAAAAGCTATTCTTTATAACTTCTATTGCTTTGAATTCAGCCACACACCCAATAAAGACATAGGCCACGAGATTCCAAGAGACAAGAAGAAAAAGGGAAGGAAGGGGAAGGGACAAGGCCACTCCAAAAGTAAACTTCATAATGATGTACCTTTTTGGATAATTATGAGCTACTAAACTTCAGCTCAAGCAACTGTAGAGATCAGCTCAAAACCAAATGCTCCAAAAACAGCACCAACCGAGAACCATCAGTAGCCGAGACCAATCAAGCCAGCAAACCAAAGGATCCTACCGAAGCCATATGCACTACCTACCATGATCATTGGATGCTTTCCCATCATTGGATAGCTAAAAAAGAAAAGAAAATAAAATAGAAAACATAATATAGTAATGTTCAAACAAAATAAAAAGTACAGAATTCTTGATTTCATCAATTCTCCCCTGGTGGAAAATTCTCAGCTCCTGATGAGAACGTATCAGCAACTCGTTCAAAAAGCTCCAAATTTTTCTTTTTTAGATCAGCAGCATTAATCCAGGTACAGTCAGTCAATGGCCGATTGCTCCATTTGGCCAAAAACTTTTTGTGTTCTCCATGCCTCGTTTGAATAACCTTCACATCAATAATATCTTCGATTTGATCTTCGGACTTTACCAAAGGAGCAGAGAGTGGTAAAGTTTCAATATCTACAAAATTGTCAGAATCTCCTTCATACAAAGACAGGTCAGAAACATTAGAAACAGGTGAAGTGCCAACAGTATCTGGTAAATCTAGCAAATAAGCATTAGCACATAATTTCCAAATCACACGAAAGGGGCCCAATTTCTTTCGACTTAGCTTTTTAAAAGTACCAACATAAATAGGTAGATCCAAGAGGTATGCATTTGTGTCCAGAAAACGAAGTGCTTCATGATCAGTATTTAAAATAAATTCTCGTTGAATCAAATAGCATCTCCAGAATTTCAAAGCTTGAACAATGGCATAAAATTCCAAGTCATAAGTATAATATCGAGATCGAACATCATTTAGCTTTTCACTAAAATATGCAATAGGCTTTCTTTCTTGACTTAAAACAGCACCAATACCAATATGTGAAGCATTGCAATCAACCTCAAAAATGATCTCAAAACTTGGTACTTTAAGAATAGGAGCTTGACTCATTTTTATTTTAATAATCTCAAGTGTCCATCTAAAAATTCCCTTTTTCAAACAATCAGTAATAAGAGCAATCAGAGAACTGAAATTCTTTATAAATTTTTGATTGACAACTTCAGTTTGTTTATTAGTTTGAGGAAGATAAGCACTACTAAACTGAAGAGAAGTTTCTAACTTAGCCCACAGAGTTCTCCAAAAGTAACTTAAAAACCTAGTGTCATGATCAGAAGTAAAAGTTCGAGGGATACCGTGAAGGCGAACAATCTCTTTAAAATAACAAACTTTCCAATGAGAGGTGTCAAAATATGATTCATAGTTCTCATAATAGTACTCGAGGTATTTGAAAGACCAAAAGACATCACTCAGCATATCAAGCATGTCATCCACACAGATCCTCCATATTCTATCCTTTTTTGGAGTTATCAAAGCAGGCACAGCACAAGGACTCGGACTTTCTTGGATTAAACCTTTTTCCAGCAGTTCAGATTCTTGTTTAAAAAGTTCAGCATGCTTAGTTGGACTCATCCTATACTGAGGAAGGTTAGGCAAAAAAGCTCCAGGAATCAAGTCAATATGATTTTGATGCAATCCAATTGAAAAATCATCAGAAGTTATATCAGAAAATTCATCCAATAAAACAGTATCAGATTCTTTTCCCAAGACCAAATAAGCAACCTCAAAATGTTTCAAATCATTATCATTTAAAAGCAATTCAGGAGAAGTAATTTTGGCAACTGTGTTTTTCTTGACGGGTGAATCCGGCACATTCTTTTGTGGATGAAGAGTAAACTCCTTATTATTTTTCATCAAAGTATATGTATTTTTCTCTCCATTGTGAACAGTTTTGTTGTCGTACTGCCAAATGATGGATATTAGATTTGTTAATTTATTTTTTTATGAATTTACATGTAACTTACTAATTTCTACTTTGTGGTTTTCATTATAATGATAAATTTATGCTCTATCATTTAGAGAAATTAGCTCGGATGTTACAATAATTTTTTTTTCTTCTAAGTGCTGCAGAACAATTTTAAGACCCTGTTTTAGAAATTATTTAAGCTGAATTTGTTTTAAAAAATCTAGCATATCACAAAATGTTTATTTGTGCTGAAGATATATGATGGAAAACGTATACTACACTAGCACCTTTTTGTTCAGGACATACATGTATTTATCATATTTTATGTAAAGGGAGAATGAATTCGTCACAAACAGAGATGAACGGTAATTCGAAGCCCAAGAGAAAATTTTTTTATGAAGCTTAAATCCTGTGTGGATAACTGTATTGCTTCAAATAATGATGGAATATGTAAATGCAAATATGCGAAGTGCCCAAGGATTCAAAGACTCTGTGTATCAAGGTGCAGCCCAGAAAATGAAAGAGAAGTTTGGAATAGAGGTGACGGGTGAGCAATGCAAGAACCAAATAAGGCATCAAACATGTGTGTGGATTCACATTCAAGAGTTGAAACGAAAATCAGGTGTATCTTGGGATGAAACAAAAAAATGATAGTGATGGGTCAAGAAGAGTATGCATCACATATTCAGGTATTACTTTAAGCACATCATTTAAATTG